ATAAGTAAATATAGATTGATGAAGTCATCTTGAGGGAGATATGTAGAAATTTGGAAAGGTTTAGACGAATTCCCATTTTAGATTTGAAGGCAGCTGTAAAATCGAAAAACAAATGTTGTATTGATGTTGCAAGTATACACTTCATACAGGAATTGAGTCAAAGACCAACTTTAGATGCAAAAAGCATGCGTATAATTTCTGCTAATTTATTAAAAGTTGAGAATGTATACGTGATTAAAAACAGAGTCTCCTCCATTTCTCTACCAGGCATGAAAGCAAACTGTAGGTTAAATTTTTAACTTCCATCCATTATTTAGATTTCGGTGTTACTAGGTCTGTAAATAGTAAGTTTGCGTAGAATGGATAAAAGAGCGATTGGATTCAGATGGTCCTGTTTCTTATAAATCAAGCTGAAATTGGTGAAGTTCCACACAGAAAGCACAAATCCAGTCTGAAAGATAACGTTAAGTATATTCAGCAATTAAAGCGTATTTAAGAAGCACTGTAGGGATAAGGTCTTTTGTTTTCGTGTTGTCAAGAGCTCGAGTCGTTGAGGTTAAAGTCAAGTCTACAATTCGGGGTAAAATTGGTAGAAATGAGAGACTTGGTAAAAGTTGAATACTTTTCTGTAAAATAAATTTCTACCCTTCATAAGTCAATGTATTTATTGACGTTCCTCTTATAAATTGAACTTGTATAACTAAAAGCTGATTGTTTTAATTTGTGATAGGTTGTACTGAATTTGTTTCAAGTGGCTTTTTTATAAGCTTAGTAGAAGTCTTTTAGGCACGTTCCCATGAGCAATATCGTCAAAACTTTTGGAATGTTTTGACGATATTTACGGAAATAAAATTTCATTCTGTTCTACTTTATTACAGTAATAGTATATCAAGGCTATAAATAAATGCGATTTGTGTTTTTGCAGTAGATATTGACAATTTTTGACGCTTTAAATAGTAGTTCGATTGACGTCTGTGGAGGAATTATAGATATGCAGAGGTATTTGTTGATTGCTGCTGAGAGGTCTCTATAATCTTAAAGGTTTGTTTTAAACCTGAGGCGTAGGCGTAAGGATTTGGTATAAGAATTTACCGTTTATGGCTATTTTAGTCATAATTTTAATGAGGAAAGATTTCTTCTAGTACCTCCTAACTGCTTCACGAGGTGATCAGCAGATCCATTGAGAATCATGAAATCCATTACAAAGTATCATTTTTATTTCAAAAAGCAAACTCAGCAAAACTTATATTCTATAGTTTGTCAAATATAACGAATTTTCTGTTATTAGTTGAAGTAGTGTTTCCTCTATAGTTTCTAATTGTTTCCTTATTTTTATTGTAGAAATTAAAACAGAATCCATATCTGATGCTATTCTAACAGTAGCATCTTCCATGATTACAATGAAGAAGGACTACATTTTCATTTGATTGAAGAGAATGCCAAACGACCAAATTCGGAAGTGTATTCTGCGGGAAATTTTAAGGTATTAAACTTGTAATTATTTATACTAGATTCAAACGATTGTAGACCTTTTTTTGATTATTCCAATTAGGTTAGATGATTTTATATGTTTAAGATCATCCAGCAAATATACTAAAAAACAGATCTTGCATATTATAAAAGTATAACTTATTTCTATAGGCCACTGCTATTGTGAAATAGAGAAAGAGGAAGTTATTGCGGTTTTGATTGGTGTGAAGAATAGCCAGATTATAATTGGTGTTTTTAACATCAGGACGAGTGACAGGTGCGGAAGTATTTATCGTAAAATATACGAGATGCTGATAATATCGTTCATATATTTTGTATAAACTTTATGTCATATAACAAAGCTTCTAATTCGAACTTGGGAACCTTGAAACTTTAGTATAAAAGGGCAGCGTTTTTCGTTCTTTTTCATAGAATTGAGTAATTAATGATTTAATGTTTATAATATTTTTTGGCGTTTTCTCCAGAAAATGAAGATAGAATTTCTGGTAGCTTTGAACTTAAGGGTGTTTAATTAAGTTTTGACTTCTGAAAGCAGTAACACGAAAGATTTTTTCTTTGTATCTATATCTTCTATAACAAGCTCATTTTTGCAGAAGTTAGAAAGACTGGCTTCCAAACTTTCATCCAGGATATAATTTGTTTTCATGCGAATCCAATTTATACTTCCGAACTTCTTTAATGAAATCTTCTTTGTTACTTTCTTGCACTATTTCAGTCCTTTGTTTTAACTTTTAAGTTTTCTTTGCCAACTTGTTCGATAGAATTTTTTAATTTCTTTATGACTACTATTTTTTAAAATTCTGCTGTTTATGATCCAAAGTCTTTTAGAATTATTTCCTGTAAGTCCTTTAAATTGGGCTTTTGTATAAATTTGTTTAAATATTATCAATAGTTCCGTTTCCTCAACGTAGAAATTCGAAGAAACGACAAAATATTCTAGTAAATTAGACTGCGTCAAACAATTTTTTGTTACATTTTTCTTTGAAATTTTCGATCAAATTTCCATTAGAAATTTTCAATCAATCAAAACTTTATTCGTATTAGGCGATTCCCTGTTACAACCGAGGGGGACGCCATACCCGGGAGTACTTTCTATGGGAAACTAGCCCTTTTTAGGTGTTACCGACGTAAAGAAAACCCGGAAAACTTCATGTGGAAAGCCTATAGGCTCGACCCAAGACCAACTACTAGTGTTCAGTGGTTTTCTCCACTCGGCCATTGGTTGGTTCCTTTTGTTTTTTGGAGTTTGACTCGTGCTATTCTATATAAGGTCCTCTAACTTTTCGGTCGCCATATTGTTGGGTATTTTGTACACGTTCTCCATACGTACATTAAGAAGAAGGAGGAATTACTATGAAAATAAGTTGCCATCATCTTCTATGTTTAGTTGAGCAAATTTGAGAACTGATTGACAAATATGAGAACAGATAATATACCAGTATTAATATTTAATAAAATTTTTCAGGCATGAAATAAAGATCTTCAAGTAGAGTCCTTCTTCAAGTTTATATGTGTAAACAGTATGTANTCCTTTTTCTGGTATCTCAAACACTACTCGTTAAGTGTTATCTAATTATATGGAAGATGTGAGTAGTTTGTATATACTTAAGTGTGATATAAGTTAACGTTGAATATTCTTATAAACATTTGGAGTGATGGGGAATGGAGATACGTTCTTCACGCTATTGTAACTAGAAGCAAATTGTCAGAGTTGGTTTCCAGTCAGAGCTTTTATCAACTGTACACGTATCGACCAGTAGATGTCGCGCCTCTATAGGACCATCCTAGGATAATAGAACAGGTGCAGGCACTTCGCTGATACAAAAAGTTATTTAATATTAATTAAAAATTACATTTTTTTAATGCAAGAGACTCAATTTTAAAAACTGCAATATTTAATTTCATGTTTATTTATTTTTTTCCATTTTAATATTTGTTTTACAGTGGGAAAAACACGTCTGAAATCCAAATCTACGTTTTAATTAATTCTTTTAGTCGTTTTCCTGATATAAAATGAAATAAAACAGCAATCTTTAAAGAAAAAAGTGTCTTAGAAACTTCTCATAAAATTGTTTTTTTAATTAAAATAAATTTTTATCGTATATTTATTTAATGTATTAATTAACTAAAACGTAATTAGAACATAACTGCCCATTTTCTTAATTATAATTACGTATTAACGAGTTTTTTTACGTGTATTTTACTTTATATATACAGTGAACCTGTCCAAAACGGAAACCTGCTTAAACGGGAAAGATTGTAAAGAACGGATTTTGTCTTAAAAAAGTAAACCTGTTCAAAATAGTAACCTGCCAAACGAAATAAAAATATTCGGCACCGTGCGATTCCGGTTTATGCAGGTTTTACTGTATATAACGTATTATTTTTTAAAAAAATATTATCTGAACGATTTAAACGCATAAATATCAATTTAAACGTTCTATTTTATAATTTTAAACAATAAAATAGTTAAAACTCTTTAATCAATCTGTTAATTAAGATTTAATAATCGCATAATATTACCAATTAAAAAGCAATTTTATATCTATAATACTTTTAAAAGCTTAATCAAGGAAAATAATTTTTTAGTTAAAATTTGAAAATAATCTGTAAATTATTATAATTTTAAAGCTAAAGTTAAATAAAATTAGAATTCTCTTTCTACTACTACTACTAATAATAATAATAATAACAAAATTTAATTAAAATAAAGAAGTTTATTAAATCACTAAATTAAATATAGTTTGAAAGAAAAATAAAGAAGAAAATAGAAAGGGAAACAAAGTAATCAGTCCATAAGTTTCAACAATAAATAAAGAAAAGTAATAACTTAATGGTTCTAAGTTGATAGCAAAGTCACTTTGTGCTATCTTCAAAAAAAGATAAATGATTTTTTGGATCCCATCTTTTACAGATTGGAAAAAAGGAAACTGTTTAATAGATCCAAAAACGTTTGGGTATTAATATAAAGGCTAAAATTCAATTAATAATTATTTAAATCGCTTGCTGTGACATGGTCACAATGCGGGTTGCAATATTTAATTATATTTTAATTTAAAAAACACCTGACTTCCGACCTACGCCGGAACTTCTTATACAGTTGATTGGGGTAGGAGGAATTAAGCTTTCCATATATAATCTCGATTTTCATGTATATAAATCCGTTTTCGAGATTCAGAAAGGACAGTCGAACAGACGGACGGAAGTTGTAGGTCGGCAATTTGAAAATTGCAGATCAATAATAGTAAATATAATAATACATAACTCACGAATAAAATGGCTGCCAATATAACTATATAATACTATTATACTATAACTAGTTATAGTATAATATATAATTTAATAACAAAGTTCGACTAATATAAAATTACTAAGCAAATGAAATTAACTTTTCTAAGGATAATTACGTATTACCCATGTATAAATTAATACTAAAACAGTATATTCTATACAGTTTCCTGCTATTTTATAAACATAGAAAATATAACTTTTAAAATACGTTTACTTACATAGGATATCATAGGCAATTTAAAAGCAGCAGCCATACGTCCTTCGTGTACACAAGTTTCTTGAGGTCCCAAGTAAACAGATATATTCTGGGTCCACAAAATTGCAGTTTTTAGTATACTTTCATTTTCATCACCGTATGTTTCAGCCACAATAAAATCTAGAGTATGATTATCGTGTAAGGGGTGTAAATTCCTGATTTCTTCAACAGCCAAACTTATTGCACCCGATATAGATAAACCAGGTCGAGAATAACCATTATCACCTTCACGACGTTGAGAACCTGTCAGATATCCTATAGTAAACGTGTCAGCAGTAACACAAACTCTGTTAAAGATGTTGAAAAGGAAATCGTTGACAACAGTAGTAATTAAATACACGTAACAAATTTCCATGATGAGCATGATCGTTGCAAAAATGATGTTGCAAACTTCATATTTTAGTAAAATTACTTAAGGACGATCCTTTTTCTGGTATCTCAAACACTACTCGTTAAGTGTTATCTAATTATATGGAAGATGTGAGTAGTTTGTATATACTTAAGTGTGATATAAGTTAACGTTGAATATTCTTATAAACATTTGGAGTGATGGGGAATGGAGATACGTTCTTCACGCTATTGTAACTAGAAGCAAATTGTCAGAGTTGGTTTCCAGTCAGAGCTTTTATCAACTGTACACGTATCGACCAGTAGATGTCGCGCCTCTATAGGACCATCCTAGGATAATAGAACAGGTGCAGGCACTTCGCTGATACAAAAAGTTATTTAATATTAATTAAAAATTACATTTTTTTAATGCAAGAGACTCAATTTTAAAAACTGCAATATTTAATTTCATGTTTATTTATTTTTTTCCATTTTAATATTTGTTTTACAGTGGGAAAAACACGTCTGAAATCCAAATCTACGTTTTAATTAATTCTTTTAGTCGTTTTCCTGATATAAAATGAAATAAAACAGCAATCTTTAAAGAAAAAAGTGTCTTAGAAACTTCTCATAAAATTGTTTTTTTAATTAAAATAAATTTTTATCGTATATTTATTTAATGTATTAATTAACTAAAACGTAATTAGAACATAACTGCCCATTTTCTTAATTATAATTACGTATTAACGAGTTTTTTTACGTGTATTTTACTTTATATATACAGTGAACCTGTCCAAAACGGAAACCTGCTTAAACGGGAAAGATTGTAAAGAACGGATTTTGTCTTAAAAAAGTAAACCTGTTCAAAATAGTAACCTGCCAAACGAAATAAAAATATTCGGCACCGTGCGATTCCGGTTTATGCAGGTTTTACTGTATATAACGTATTATTTTTTAAAAAAATATTATCTGAACGATTTAAACGCATAAATATCAATTTAAACGTTCTATTTTATAATTTTAAACAATAAAATAGTTAAAACTCTTTAATCAATCTGTTAATTAAGATTTAATAATCGCATAATATTACCAATTAAAAAGCAATTTTATATCTATAATACTTTTAAAAGCTTAATCAAGGAAAATAATTTTTTAGTTAAAATTTGAAAATAATCTGTAAATTATTATAATTTTAAAGCTAAAGTTAAATAAAATTAGAATTCTCTTTCTACTACTACTACTAATAATAATAATAATAACAAAATTTAATTAAAATAAAGAAGTTTATTAAATCACTAAATTAAATATAGTTTGAAAGAAAAATAAAGAAGAAAATAGAAAGGGAAACAAAGTAATCAGTCCATAAGTTTCAACAATAAATAAAGAAAAGTAATAACTTAATGGTTCTAAGTTGATAGCAAAGTCACTTTGTGCTATCTTCAAAAAAAGATAAATGATTTTTTGGATCCCATCTTTTACAGATTGGAAAAAAGGAAACTGTTTAATAGATCCAAAAACGTTTGGGTATTAATATAAAGGCTAAAATTCAATTAATAATTATTTAAATCGCTTGCTGTGACATGGTCACAATGCGGGTTGCAATATTTAATTATATTTTAATTTAAAAAACACCTGACTTCCGACCTACGCCGGAACTTCTTATACAGTTGATTGGGGTAGGAGGAATTAAGCTTTCCATATATAATCTCGATTTTCATGTATATAAATCCGTTTTCGAGATTCAGAAAGGACAGTCGAACAGACGGACGGAAGTTGTAGGTCGGCAATTTGAAAATTGCAGATCAATAATAGTAAATATAATAATACATAACTCACGAATAAAATGGCTGCCAATATAACTATATAATACTATTATACTATAACTAGTTATAGTATAATATATATATATATATATTTCCAATTTCGATGTAAGTTTTCTTTATAAATATATACTAATATATTTTAGAGAATATTTAATATAATTGTCCTACATTTTGATTTATTTATATTGAAAAAATATTTAAATTTAATCAAAATGTTGCTTCAAAGACATCTAATATGTATGAATATTATATTTCTATATGAGTTATATCGTTGTAAATATATTATATTTAAGATATATTTATAGCTCTATATTATAGAGCTATAAATATATCTTAAATAAAATCACAAAGAACATGAACATTCGTTCTTGTTTTTAATATTTATGCTTTAAATTTATAACTTTTCCAATAAATATTTATACTTTATAATTTCAGATATGAGTAAAGAAGAGTATTTTTTACAATAATAATATAAAATTTATTTCGTATTAATTACTTTTCCGGTGTTATATATACTAAGTATAATAGAAGGAAAGTATGGCGATCTGACATAAAATGACTTTCTACGATGTTTTTATTTTTATATAAATTTTTTATATAATTACATTTTTTAATTCAGGGGACCTTGAAATGTCCAAAAATGCAAAAACAAAATAGATTTATTTTTGTATGTATGGATTTTAGTGTGGGGAGCATGATATTGTTCGTTCACTTTAAAGCTTAATAATTCCTGTGTATTTTGTCGAAAATATCTGAAATTTTGTAGGGAGGTTTGGGTAGTAAGCTCATTGATGCTGTTAAATTTTGGTAGTTAAAGGTTGAAGTGTTGGGAAGATAGAGGGATCGTGTGTCATATCTCGAGTGGAGACTTAATGACTTTACTCGTTGTTAGCATTTAATAAAAATTTATGTCTACTATCAAAATGAAGCTTTTTGCCTTTTTATAATAATTAATAATATAAAAGTAACATTCGGCACCACACACGATTTAAATTTTGTTTGCCGGGAAAGTCATGCAACTCTTTATTGTATTAGTTGTATTATTTCCTTTATTGCAATATCCTAATATATAAATAAAATATTAAAATTTTCTGGCTTTATAAATATATTTTATATACTGTATTTAAATTAATTTTAGGTTTTAAATTTAAAGTTTTTTTTAATTATAATGATAATTGGATTTTTAACTTAGGTTAGTAAAGTAATGAATATAATTTAAAAATAAAGATATATAAT